GTTCTGTGGCCCACACACACACACAATATCATTGGGGGGGACATTCTGTCCCAAAACCCCCACAATGACATTGTGTCTGTTGAAAGCAATTTGTTTCAAAAGATACACTTTGAACATATAAATATATTATGTCTAATGAGAAAGGTATAATTCTATATCAAAGACTAGAGTAATTGATAAATTATCTTTGTCAATCAGCTATTATGATATTCTGATACTAATATATTATTTAATTATTCAAATATATTAATGGCAATAACTGATCTTGCTGTATAAGTTTCAGCTTGATATTCATAATGAAACTAATTCCAGAAATTTTGAAATCCAGTTATAAGTGTATTAAATAGAAAGGGTAGATAACAACAATTATAGGTATAATCTTCATTGAGGAAGGAATTTGAATAATGTCTAACAATATGTTCTACTGTATTTCTTTCAATTAATATACTTCACTATATCTTTAGCATTTCATTATATATGAAATTATTTCTGTTTCTTAATTTCTCTTTAACTCAAACTTTTATACATCTCGCTAAATCTGTTAGTGATCTGTTATATATAAAGTTAATAGTATTCTGGCAGAAATCACCACTTGTTAACGTTACTCTTTCCATCAAATAAGTTAACTATGATTTGAAATCAACGAGGCAATAGTTTTGACTTAAGTTTAATCAACTTGACATGCTATTAATTAGAGAGTTTATTTAGTTAACAAGAATAAAATTATAAGTATTATATTTGCAAAATGTTAAGGTTATTTATTATTATTATTAAATTTATATTGAATACAATGTTAGGATTTATTCTTTTTCCAAGGCATTTTCATACTTTTTTTATAGGAAAATTATAATTAAAGAAAATCTATGATATTTATGATACTATTGACAATAATAATAGAGTTAACAGATATGCTAATTATGTTAAATATAAAATAAATAATAATAATGATAAATATAATAAAAATATAATAAATAATATATGTATTCTATTTGACAGATATAGCATATTTAGCATATATGTCATATTTGACAGGTCTGTCAGTTTCTGCTAGTTTTAACAGTAAAAAATATAATTAAATACTGATAATTAATGAAAATAACTTACCAACTATTATTTTATTAATTATTTTTTTAAATAAAAATTTAATTGATTTTGAATTACAATTTTAAATATAATTAAATACTAATAATCAATAAAAATAACTTACTCGCTAATAAAATTAATTTTTTAAATAAATAATTTAGTTAACTTTAAATTATATAATAAGTACTAATAATTAATAAAAAATAACATACAAACTAATAAAATTTATTTTTAAATAAAAAATTTTAGTTGACTTTAAATTACAATAACAAGTATAATTAAATACTGATAATCAACTAAAATAACTTACCATCTATTATATTGTTAATTATTTTTTTAAATAAAATGTTTAATTAACTTATAAAAAGTATGATTAAATATTGATAATCAATGAAATAACTTGCCAGCTATTGTATTATTAATTATTTTTAAATAAAAAACTTTGTTTTAATTTAAATTATAATAAAAATTATAATTAAATTAAATTTTTAGTAGCATAATCCAAAGGTCTCATTGAAATATATTTACAAATGTCTGCATTAAGTTTAGCCTTACTTTTAATATCTAATGAAAATAATATTTTAAGATATTTTAGTTTTCTCTAATTCTCTTTGATCATTTTTTAATATAATTTTTTAAAAATAAATTTATTTTTTATATCTTTAAACTAACTAATTAGTAAATTATAATGTTTACTATTTCACAAACATCCTAATAGATAAATCTATAAGAAATCTCTTTTAAGTAATCCTTTAAGTTTATTAAGTATTATAACAATATGATTTAAAATAATTTTAATTCATTATTTATTAGACTTTTATATAATTTTGTAACACTTATTCCAATTTTTTTATTTATTTTAATGTAATATGTAACTTTAGAAAATTATTTTTGTTAATAGATTATAATTTCATTGTAAAAGAGTATCTTTAAGATGGCTATTTATTGAAGTAACTGCATTTTTAAATGAAGCTCTTGAATATTATTTACCAATTTTGTTCTTATTTTATATACAAGTTCAAACATCTCTTTCTTAATTTGTTCTTTAGAAGAAAATAACTTTAATATATAATTATAACCAACACTTTTAAGGCGTGTATAATATTAACTCAATTTTCAGTATTTTTGATTATATTAAGTGGAACACAACTTTGTTACACTCAAATAAGCACTTCAGTTGTTGGTTAAAAGATTAATGAATTTATTAGTATTAATCTTATAGTAATTTGAGAAATTTATTATATTTAAATAATAATATTCTTATATTGTTAAAATTTTTATTTTCCATTATTTGATTACAAAGAAATGTTTAAAGAAATAAAATTTATAAAAGAAAATAATTTTAAAATGTGTTAAAAAAAAAGTATATAAATGTAAATGTTTATCATGAAATCATGAGACATCAGATAAATCACTTATCTGGCACTTTGTGCCAAATAGCTATTAATTATTAATTCAGGAAACAACTTGTTTAAAAATAAAATAATAAATAAAATAAACAAGTCTTATTATTTTAGTAAATAAAATAGTTCTTTATTCACAAAGTTTTTTATTCATTTTTTTCGTTGTGTGGCATATTTATATTGTGGCCAATCATGATTTATTTATCTCGTGATTGATCAGCCATGCGCCACCACATTTTGTGCTATTTTTTGATGTGGATGTCTATTGGTATTCATTTTCCGTTGTGGCATGTCACATTGCATTTTTATTTATTGACAAACTTATCTATCACCACTTTTAAAAAATTGAATTTCATGTTACAATGAATAAAAATTTAAGCTTCCAAATCCCCGTTTTTGGAATGATCGACCACGCGGTCTAAAATATTAATTCGCCTGAATTAATTCTAGAATATAAGTATGTAGCACGATAAATATTCAGTTTTCACAATTTTCTTATATAATTATAAAAGTTTTCGTGTTCGACTCGAAAAAAATAAACAAAAAAAAACATGGAACAAATTTCAAGTCAGATAAATAAAAATTTTTAATATCTTAATGATTTTCTAATACATAGTATGAAAGTTCAAAAAATCCAAATACAACGTCCGATAATTTAAAAGATATGAAAACTTCTTTACACGAACACATATACAAAATCACATCCTTATCAAATTAAAAAAAAGGTTTCATAACACCAGATGAATAGGCGCATATACTAATTAAAGATTTAAGTAAACCAAAATATCTTTCTACGCTCAAGTTGTTTTTTAAAAATCTGTCAAATGAATTTTCATCTCAAGTTTTACGAGATTCATTGGTTCGTTTGGCAGATCCCACTCCATTTGATCATTATTCAAGAAAAAGTATGGCAATATTAGAATTACATTTACGAATGTGGCAAATTGTTTTAGAACGTATATGCTTTTTACTCATGCGCCTTAGTAGAGAACTTCGTGAAAATGTTTACTATTCTTTGGCAGTGTTTGCAGAAATTCACAGGAAAACAACCCGAGTAGTACAAGAAAGAGTTGATAATAATTATAGATATGAATTTAACCAATTCAATCCACAATGAGATAATGATGAAAATCTGATAAAGAAACAAAACTATAATATTGATTTTTTATTAATACATTTGCGGGATATACTACACAACCTTAGTAATGATGAAACCTGTTTCAGGAAATCATACGAAGAATAAAAGAATTACTTAATGCCGTTCTTAATATTACACCTGGAATTTGTTCAGTATTTATACCTGCGGTTACAGTTCCAAAATCAAACTATTCAATGTATCAATGTTTATGCAATTGCATCAAGGATTATCTTTCAAATACCCAGTATCATCTTATTACTTGGATTGGAGAATCATGCTGCTGATTATTCGACATAATATTGTAAGATGATCTGAAGGTTCTGAAAAGATAATTAGTAAAAAATTTGGGAAAATGATCTTAATGGAATATCTTTGGGATTATTAAAAAGAGAATGGAATAACGGATAAAGCTATTTTGGATTCCTAAATGAAATTTGATGACGTTGTTAAGCCTAAACACTACGTCATTAGGATAATAAAGCTTATTTGCTAACAGGGAGTTTAAGTTGTAAACTATGAAAGAAATAAACACGAATTTATTTAAGTTG